CAGAACCTCTCTGTTATTAAGGAGGTAACTTAAGGAGATTAACCTCACTAAACTAAGGTTAACCTTTATTAACAACTCCTTATCCTTTCTTAATGTGGTAAAAAATGAGATAATTCTTTCAAAGACTGGCTTATTTTCAGACATCTTCCTCAATGTTTACTACCAGGGGCAACAAAGCACACATCAAACATGTGTCAGCTGTTTGACTGCACAGTGATATCATTCCAGAAGCCAGAATTGTTTTCTTTCTTATACAGATACATCAGTAGCTGTGCCTATAGTTCTGGTTCCCTGAGCACTGGCCCTGCAGACTTGGCTAAAGCATACCTGAGTTCCTTTCCAGATTAGCTTGTAAGAGGTAAGGAACCTAGGGACAGAGAGAGGAATACACTCAAATCTTCCATAGATACAATATTTGGACATGAATGGGGCATGTAGCCAGACCAAGCAACTTAAAAACACTCTCAGATCTTGCTGTGTGAACACAGCCAAGATGACCAGCATATGTTTGCAAAGATTTGTAAGACTGTCAGTGACACCAGAGTCTGTGTGTGTCCGTGGCAGCTTTTCAGCATGCCTCTGCTGGGCTTCTAACATTAACATTCCTTTCAATCAGGGATGCAGAGAGGAGCTAATGACTCATAGCTCCTACAGGTATAGAGTGCTTAAAGAACTGAGTGCCATGCCATCTCTTGTAATTATGCTGATAGGTTTGACAGGCCTAGAAACTTTAATAACATCTTAAAAGCAGACTTCCTGAAGTAAACAAGGAGCTCTTAACAAGAGGGAAATGGGAGAAGCAAAATGTAATTGCCTATTGCTCTGCTGCTTGTTTCCTCCTTTCTAAGGCAGCAATTCCTCCACATACACCTTAGTTCTACAAAGAAATGGGATCTCATGACAGCTCTCATTACCCCAAATTATGTTCACGGGTTTATCCTGATTTTCTGATGATTATAAACTAATAGTCTTACATTGTGCACAGCTGGGGTTTTCCCAAGGACAGTGCACGGTTTTGATTGTCTTAGTGGACAAAAAAAAAGGAGTAAAAATCTACAGTAATTCTCCTCAAAGCAGTTGACACAGAGAACATTAAGCTGGATGCCAGAAAAGCCCATTTTTTATGGGACTCACTGCTTTTCACATGGAAGCATGTGCTAGATCTTTCTCAGTCCTCTGAAGAATATCAGAGGAACTCCAGTGTCTCAGGTACCTAAATTCAGCTCTTTTTCATGTAAGTGATGGTTTAGAAGATTCACCACAAGACTAAAGCAGTGGTTTTGGCAGAAAAAAAAGGTGGAGTTTTAATTCATGAAGTTGATTGTCATGGTTTCAAATAAGTATTGTCATCTAACTTGGACTTTAGAAATTAGAAGACTGAAAATGTCTAAGGAATTAAGAAATCTGTTTCTTTATTGGCACTTGTGTATTGTTAGCAAGACTGCTATCTATTTATTGTAAAAGGAAAAGATATATTTTCAAAGGAGAAGAAACTAGATAAAAAAGAATAAAGTATTTTCTCCTTAGAACAAAGTACTAGATCTCGTGGTAGTAAGAGCCCTGAGCAAACATCATGAGCAAGAATGAATGATTGTTCATGAAATTCAACATTTACGAGAAATTCAACATTTACGAAGAATTTTTTTTTAGTAATCTACAAAGTAAATTCCTGTGATAAGACTTAGGCTTTCAAAGAAAAATTTCCCCCCTCTTAGGCTTTCAATTTTGTAAGTTTCCTGTAATTTCTCCTTTAAGTTTTTCCAACATTCTCTCCTCTCAGTGTTGCTTTGTAATGAGTGTACCATGGTAGACCTTTCTGGACATTAAAATTTAAGTGAATATTGAAGCCATCCCACTTGGCTTCATGACTGTCAGATCCAGAGGTTTTGAGATTGGAGAAACATTGAGAAAATCTGTGTTCAAGTGTAGCTGCCTTTGTAACTGTGGCCAGGTTCTCTGTCACCTTCTCCTACCAAAACCTAACACACATGAACCTGAGGGACAGAAGTTCTCCTAGAGAGATGTCCCTAGATAAAAGGTGGCAACAATCTGCTTTTCTCTGGTAAATCATAGGAGACAAAAAGCTGCCTGGGGAGTTGCCAGTGCGGGTTGGAGTTAAATGCGACCAAGGAAAAAAAGTAGATGCTCACTTTGGGGATTTGTGCTGTGTTTTCCCCTAAAAAACTTTAAAAAATGCTCCTTGTCAGTCTATCTAAAGACAAAAGAGTGGTAGAAATCACATTTGGCTTTCTCCTGAAGTCAGTACTTCTCCTTGTGTGTGGTGAGCAGCTGGGGCATCTCCTCAGAATCTGTAAAGAGTTTCCTTTTATAGCTAGAAAGTTGGGCAGAGTAGACTGTATAAAGGAAATTTTTGTCTTCCAGTCCCAGCCATAGATACAGCCTTGTGGCTGGGAAGCACAGAATTTCAACAGAAAGTAATACAATTATTTCTATCTTCATTTCCACCCACAACTCCCAAGGAATAGCCAGAAGCTTTGACCTTGAGTCTGAACCAGGAATTCCACCTCAGCCAAAAGGTATTCTTTATATTTGGAGTCTCTAGTGAAACACAGAATGATGGAAGAAAAAAAATTTTACTCACAGTTATTTCCTGTGCAAGTTAAAGGCAAATACCACTATTGATTATACTTTATTTAAAGGAACCAGAGTATGAGAAAAGAAGGCTTAAAATACTACTTTTATTGACATACTCTTTATAACAAAATAAAAATTTCTTTGGGTTTTTATCTCTGCAAATGATGTGGCATTCTTAAAAAGTCCCAAGAGATCAAACAACATTTTTAACTTCTGATAGTATCCTGCATTTAGTTGTAGTACATTTAAAATGAGGATCTCAATTTGTTTTACCAATGTTACTGGGATTACTTTTCTCTAGTTCTCTATTTTAGATTGAACTCTAACAAATAAGAGGGAGAGGGTTAAAACAGATTAATTTTCTTCCTCATAAAGAAGAAGTAGCCAGGTAGAGCACACACATTACTTGGCATCCAAGGGGTCACATACATGTCAGCTTCATAACATTCCTGTTGAATGATGCAACTGCAGGCTATTGATTGCAACTGTGCAAGGCTCCTGAAATGGGGTGGTCATGCATAACTAAAACCTTGCATAGTTATCCGTAGAAAACAAGGTCGACACTTATGGTTGTTGTTACATTACTTTTAGTGAAAACTCAGAATGTCAGAAAAAAACAAAGATTAGAGAGAAAGTCTAAACTGACAGCAGATAAAGGTCAAGATTGCAAAGGTAATGATCTCCTTTGAAACACTGGAAGGCCATCATGGTGTTTTAAATTAAGGATGACCTAGCTTAGGGTAGAGGTTTGAAACAGATTGTGAAACCTTAGAATAACTGAGACTGAAAGCAAAGATAGTTATTGCTAATGATTAGCATTTCACATGACCTCTTACCTTGAGGATCACAAAGTACACCTAACAGTAGGTCTGACTGCTGGGCAGGAACAGCTACTCTTGTGGAAAGCAAGCATGAGAGGTCTCTGAACCAGCAGCAAACATTTTGCTGGTAGAGAAACACCTGAGATACATACACAGTAAAAGAACAATTGCTCTGCTGTTCTTAGGATGTATTGTCTCACTGTTTTCTGGTGCAGAAACACCAGGGGAGGGGGTGATGGCAATCTTTACATGCACTCCAGCAATAAAACATTTGTAGAACACTCAAATAATCCCTGATGCTAATAAACGCAACAGACTTTGGTATATAAATGAACACCTAATGAGTTTGTAGGAAAATGTAAATTCCTGTATGAGAGATTCCAGTACTTTTAATACTGTGTTTAGCACCAGAATACTAAGCTAAATAGCACCTTGGAGTAGGTGCTTATTTACAAGAGTTGAGGTGTTAAATACAGAAAAGGAGGGTTCTTTGAATAGTGGATTACTTTGCATACGTAAAACTAAGGTTCCAAAAGTAAACTTTAATAAAATGTGCCAAGAAGATCGTGAAAATCTCTACAGTTCATATGTTGAAGAGATTAGAATTTTCTTTAATTTAGAAGTGCAAGTGTCTGCTTTTGTTTTATTGCAAGCAAGGAGAAAACATTCAGTGCAGTGACTCCATGAATAGAAATAAATAGGAATAGGGTGGGTATGATCAGAAAACCAAAAATGGTAGCATAGAAGACAAGAAGCTTCAGCCATGAAGGAATATCAAGGATATCAGAGAAGCACATATTGTTATTAAAAGTAAGTGCTAGCTTCAGAGGCTATAGGAGAACAAATTCTATCATGTTTTGAAAAATGTATTAATGAATGAATTCAGAATTAATATATTCCTAACTATTTGTTTTTTAAGTGGCAAATAGCTGAAAATCAGAAATAGATTTCTATTACATAAATGTTGACTATTTCTTGATCCTCACTATTGCAGAGTTAATTTTATCTGTTGCCTGTACTTTATTATCTCACCATGCATGAATTTTTCTCCACCTGTATTCAAATGATGAAGCATGTGGATACTTGGATGCAGTAACTTTCTGCTTGCTGCCTTCCAGCTCTTCTTTTTTTTTTTAAACCAGATGTTGAAGCTTAGTGTGTTTTTAATATGAAAAAGTGTGTACTTCAAGTGTTTACTAGTAGTCTGACATAACAGGTACATGTAGTTTTGCCTCATGAGTGTCTTGGGTTTAGTATGTACTCTCATTCATTTAATTTCAGTGACAGGTCAGTGGAAAGCAGGATCACAGCAGGTGAAATAGCGACAGCTGGAAAGTGGTGAAAAACAATAACAAGTCTGAAACTAAAAATTTATCAGAAAGTCAGAGAGGTTTAACACAAGCATAACATTATTCTTCACTGAGGCTTTATGGTAACTGAAGGCTTGAGCATCTTCCAGGTATAAGATACCAGTCCTAGCTGGCAGCCTGCATGATCATAGCTAAGCTCATTCACAGCAGTTGCAGACTCCAATGGATTACATGAAATTGTTTAGCAATTAAATGAAAGAAAGGGTGGACTTACTGAAGTAAAAGCCTCTGTCTCCACACACAAACTGAAGAGCATCAACCAGCTCAGCACCACAGAGTGTTTCTGGGCCAGCAGCAACAGAACTGGTTAAGGTAAGCAAACACAGGCCAAGGTAGAAGAAATGGATGTAGGACACAGTGTGCATCTTCACCTGCCAAGGAAGCAGAAGTAGTGTCAGAATTTCCCTAAAGAATCTTACAAAAAATGACTCCTGCACCTTGTGAATGAGAATGAATATATACTGTGATTTCTTGGACAATAAACATGGTACCAGGAAATGTCTCCCCATGAATTTGCAACTGCCTACATGTTCTAGTCCATGTATTTTGGAGATGGATTATTTATTCTGGTGAATACTCACAATCATATCTAGTTTGGGAACCCTGTAGTATCTATAACTTGTATTTGCTTCTGGAAAGCAAAATATGGAAGAGTGGAATAGACAGACAAAGGGAAGCCTGGAATAATATAAATAAAGAAAACAACCTTGAATTTCTTTGTCTCAGAGCAGGTAAGCTAAGAGGGAATATGACAGGTGTCTGCCAATGCACTGTGGGAAATGGGGGTGGCATAAGATGGAGAAGGGCTGTTTAAACTAAAATCAACATTGTCACAAGAATAAATGGCTCTAAACTTGCTGTAAGGAAATTTGACCCAATAGAAAAGTAGTTCATTAGCACTCCACAGTTCTCCAGCCACCTTAGAGACGAAAACACCAGGACAAAGCAAAAATGTTGCAAGGTTCTACTTGCCAGAATTACAGGAGTTGATGTGGGATCTTCTGTAGTAGAAGACCACGTTCACTGACTCTTACAGTTCCCTGTTACTATCAGGCAAACATTTGAGAAATTAACAGGAGCGTGAGTTTTAAACCATTAAAGATTTCAATTTTTACTTGTTGTAAGCAGCTGTGCTTCATTGACCTTCATTATTCCCTCATAGGCAGATGTGGCCATGAGGTTCCTACAGAGGTGGTGATTCTTTTCTCATTTACATTTGGTCACAAACTCTCTTTTTCCTGTACTTGTGACTGAAGAAAGGCCAGTTCTCAAGGGGTGTAAAATTGCCCCAATCCATTTACCCACTTCTTTTTGTATCCCTTTAAGTCCACCTAATTTCTTACCCAACATGCAAAGAAGATAGCTTTTTCTTTTAATACTAGAAGAAGATGTTTATGTATAGTAGCAGGACACTGAGTAATGTGCTTAATGCATATTCTGAACTTGTTTAGATCACTTGCCAAAAATGATAGTTTGGAAAGGTGTAAATCTGCATTTAATTTCATTCTCTTTCAAGGTTAGCATTAGCATTGCAGTCAGGTAAGAAGTTACAAATCTGTCTTCCACATACAGTTAAACTTGGCTTAAAACTGCTTTGTGTTAGCAGTCTAGTGCAAAGTATTTGAAAGTAAAATGATTCATCTTCCCTAAAGTTTGTTTCAGGGTTTCAGGGACCATTTAATCTTTAATATTTCTCCACTGAACTCTTGAAAAAAAGATGAAGTTATCTATTTTCTGATCAATTGGGATCTGATCCAGTGGGATATTGAGCCTTTTTTAGTCAATAATTTTTAAGAATTCTTATTTTCTTGGCAAGAGATCTTAGTGCTTTGCTGGATGAGTCTCTTATTTCCACTGTGAAAATAATGAACAATTTTAAATCCCATGATATATCATAAAAAAAATAAAAATTTTCCCTTTCACAAGTGTCTTTAGCCAACTTTGCCATGCAAACCCCAACAAGCTCCAATGCATGGTCATGACTTCAATGGCAGATGGAGAAAGATCAGATTATAAATGAATGATGATAACATGAGGCACTATTTCCTGTAATGGTTCCATATCTTAACAGCAATTTCTTTTTTCCTTTGCCATATTTTTGAATTTATAAGATAAATGTGATGCACCTGCAGTTTAAGATGGTTCCCAGTTCTGAGGAGGTAAAGCAGAAAGCTGTTTAGCACACTGCCTCAGAAAGCTGAAAGACATTACAAATACAAGAACATTATGTATTTAACAATTTGTTCTCGTATAACATTTGGTTCAGAAAGAAACATAAATTTTAGACATTTAACAATTTTTTATTTTTCAAGACTTCTCAGCTGGCTTGCATTTTCAGATAAATATCAGCACTGAACTACGACAAAACAGATTATCTACTGTTTTTCCTTTAGTGGAAGCCAAAAAAGGCTGCACAGTATAAACCACAGAGAATTTCTAACTTTATCTCCAAATTTAACAACACTCAAGAACTTTCAAACAAGTAAAAACTTTGCAGGAAAGAAAACAGGCTCACATGTTTGTAGGGTTCAATCAATTATTTGACAAATTAAGTACTATTTCATTAAAGCAAATACCAAAACATAGTTTAAAACTTTACTTCATCATTTTAATTAAACACAACATTAATTGATTCAATATGCCTATGATAAAATCAAAGTACCCATTTATATCTGAGGGGAATATTCTTAAGAAAATACAAAGTTGTAATCCAATATTGCTTCGGGTTCTCTACAATCAAGCAGAGTACTTACATTACCCCCAATTTGACTAGAAAGTTGAGAGCTTAAAAGAAAACGCATTGGCGTGTAGGTGGGGTCTATCGAAGCATCTAATTACATTAGGAAATTGAATACAGGTTCAAGATGAGCCTGGTTAAGCACTTCTTTTACTTGCATAGAATGACTGACCATATTTTCACAGCTGCAATTTCCTTTTTTTTCAGTAAAATAGTCAGCTTTTGCTACATTCCTCTTTTAGTAGTCCAAAAGAGTAGCACTACAAAGGAATGTCATATATGAACACTCTACATCTCATTCACTCCTTAATTCTTCTATGTAAGTCCCCTTTGTTTAACAAATTATCACTTGACACAAGTTGTATATAAGAATTCTTTACATACTTGGTCATTTCAGTAACATGTAAGAACATCTGCAAGAATTATAAGTATCGTGCAGAAGGCAACATTTTTTTGGAGACTATATGCTACAGCAAGAAATCAAGAGTTATATGTTCAAAATTACATTTTATTCCAGAGGGGTTGAGCCTGATTATCAAGCCATAGTAGAAATGTGCAATTATTATGAAATATCAGTATTCACTAGTAATTGTTATATAAATAAAGCATATATACTCTGGAGTGGATCAGGGCTTAAATACTGTTAACTTTGAGCAAGGAATCTGGGCTACATGCTAACCTAAATCAATATGTTCCATTGATTCCAAGGAAGCTTGGCAGGATGCACAGCTGAGGAACTAGCACATTACTTTTATGTCTCTTAGTGCCTTGCTCAATACTTAAAAAAAAACCCCAACCCTTCTTCTTTCAAGTATGTTGGAAAGGATGCCCATTTATACATTAAGGGAATGATTTCATCCCTTGCAATTACAGATCTGTAATTAGGTCATTAAGGAATGAGATAAGTGTGTTTTAAGTGTAAGAACAACTAAAAAAAAATATTACTCTCTAAGCAATTAAAATAAGATAATTCTTTCAACTACATAAATATCCTTGCAAAATACTAAGGGGAAAAAAAGTTCTTGAAGGATATAAATTTGCAGATAATGGAAAGTTGGACTAGAGCCAATTGACAGAAACAGAGGTCAATGCACCTACTGAAGTCAAATTTACCTTAAGACAGTTTATATTATTGTGCAGAAATTATAGGGTCAAAACATCAAACTTCACATGCAAACTTTCCTGAGAAAGCCCTCCCTAGGAGGGAAAACTTGGAGATGAACATGTAAAGGAATTTCCATTTTCTTTATGTACAATTGCTTAAGCTGTACAAATATGCAAGGTCAGCAAGAGTCGCAGCTGGTTTCTAATGTAGAAAACAAACTGAACTTCTCATTTACTTTTAATTTATGAAAGCAAAAACCAAGTAAATGCCACGATGCTGCCAGAAAATTGCTGCAGTGACAACATCCCTTAAAAGTTTCCTTGTGAAAGCATGAACATTTTCTCTATAACTGTGTATAATAAAACTGCAGAAACTTAACATGTGAATAGTACCTTTTTTCCTATAAAACCCTGCACCTGCAGAAAATAGCTAAAAGTTCTTGTTTTCAGAAGCATTCATTAACAATATAGACAATGATGTAAGTGGACCTTTTAATAATGACATAACTGAAATATTACAAAGTTCTCTGAATAGAAGTGAAATTTAAGACATGTATTTGCAATAGTTTACCCTTACAGTTATCTATGTAATTGCAACTATTACATACAGCCATTTTCCAGATCCCATAAAATTGCATGTTCAGCAATTTATAAATAATTCTCAGTTCTAAAATAATGTTATTGAAAAGTGCACAATACTCCTCAAGCCAGCAGCAGACAATACACAGCAAAATAAAACTAAAAAATTATTTGAAATAGTAATAAAGATTTACCTTCAAGAAATCACACAAGCAGCACTTAACTAATTGTGTTGAAAGACTGTTGATTTTTTCCATTGCTTCTTGAAAGTGCAAAGTCTGGAAATGAATTTGTTAGCAGTAATGATGAGAAAAAAGAAATCCAGAGAGATGTGAGATGTTGAGAGCAATGTCACATTTCAATATTGAGGACTTTATTCCATTGCGCAGGCTCTATCTGCTCTGATTTTAGCAGTGACAGTGAGATTTAGCAAACAGAAGAGGGATTTAGAGAAAATCCTCACATTTATCTACATTACACAGACACTGTAGACAGGAAACAGCTGGGGGAGCATTTGCCTCTCTCTCTCTCCCTCTTCTGGCAAAGTTACCGAGTAAGGACTTTTTTGGGCATGGTGACAAATAACATCATACCTTTGCATTTTAAAACTAGAGCACAGAAGCATATTTTTTTCCCTTTAAAAGAATGTGAATTAGTGACTGAGGGGTTAGCAGACAAAAAGAGCTTGTGCTGCCATGAAAAATAAGAAAACGTATTCTGGTTAACTTTCCAGGTAGCTGTGTGTGCATTTGTATTTATGTGTGTGTGTGTGTGTCTGCATTTCAAATATATGAAAACCGATATACCTATGGGCAATGTTTGTAAATATGCATACCTTTGTGTATATATACACACATTTTATTTATGCATAGCAGCATAGGTATTTTATTTATATAGTACAAAAAGGCAGGCAGGCAGTTATCTACTTTTCCCTTAATGTGTCTTTACGTTATTAAACTTGGCACGCCTATATGCTGACTACCAATTAAAACCTCCAACTCTCTCTGTGATTAACCCTAAAACAGCAGTTTGTAATTTGCTAAAAATAACAGAATTGTTGAGAACTCCTTGTAAAAAGGGCAAAATAGCTTTGTGATATTTCAACAACCACACAGGAGAAATAAAGTAATTTCCTAGAACTTACTGAACTATGAATATAGTAACACAAGTAGCCCAGTTTGGGGGGCTTCTATGACATTTATCTTAAATCTGCTGTTGTAATTATACAGTGATTGCCCCCACCCAGCCCTCCTTTTTAGTAGTAATCTTCAAATTTCTCTTGATAACAATTTAAATGACACTGGGAAAGAGATAATTCAACTTTATTCGTTCTGCAATACCTAACTTCTGCCTTTTTATTTTTCCTCAATTATGAGTATATTATAAATAACACCAGCTGGCCAGCAACATGCTCTCACGGGTTATGATGTCATTCAAATCCCTCAACTGTGTTAGTGGCTTGCAATGTGCTCCAAGCCAGCTGTTTTTCTATTTATAATGTATGCTTGCATTTCAATACTTAGCTATTGAGAATAAAGTTGTGATGTTGTTTTATGGACACAGTTTATACTTGTTACCCTTTGAGTTTGGAAGATGGCATTTAAAAGTAGAGGAATAAACAAGGCTGCATCTCCAGAGACCAAACACATGTCACAAGCAGTGCATGATTTCCATAAAAGCTCTTTCAGAACATTGCATTTTGTCCCTGTCTGCTTGCACTAAGTGAGGGTTGCACGCTGAGGTGCTAGCTGTACTTTATTACTGAAAATAACAATTGAGATCATGTTGGCCCAGATCTGTTGTCAGTTTTCAGATCCACCTTGAGCTATAGGGTGCTTGTCAGGCAGAAAGGACACGTTTAGTTATTTGTATCTTCTATGAATGGCTGATACTCTGCTCTGTGCAGTTTTAAGCAGTGTATGGCTAGCTAAGCTAATTAATCTTTGGAAGGCATTTCTTCTAATGTACCATCATGGCAGAAGCATAGGGGTCCTGGAGGTAAGTTTGCTTAGTTCAGATAATACTAACATTTCAAGTTATTCTGGTACACATTTGTACTGCAGGTGCTGTGTTTTAATGTTCTGCTCTGTTTTATTCTCCCCTCTACATTTCAGAGGTGGCACCATTCTGCACATACCTTGATGAAGCCTGCTGCAACTCGCAGGACATGTATCACTCATTCCACCAGCCTCAGAGAAGGATGTGGGAAGACAAATTAGAAAGCTCTGATAATCTTTACCTTTCTCAGTACTACAGATGGGTGCACACTCTTCTGCCTTTTCCTTCCTAAATAACAGAAGGAATACACTCCTTCCTAACCTGCCTGGGCTTCAAACACACTTCTCACTCCTCACTGCTTGCTTTCTTCTAGTTTCAGCAGGCCTCTCTTGCTTATGAGAGCAGCAAGCAGTAGAAGATTCAGCTTTGGGCTGTCAGGGCAATCAGAGAATTATAATGTCTCTAATCAACTAGTAATGCTGGTTCTCTCCACAAAGCCATTCTCAACACACCTGACCAGCCCAAGGTTCTGTCACACCTCACTTTCTTTTGGTTCTTGTTTTAAAGTGGTATTGTGAAAAGGCAGGAAAACAGAAGAGATTCAAGAAAGGTTTCCATCAGGGATTTTTAGACTTAGTGCAGTGCTTTTCATCACATAGCCCTTTTTTTTGTTTGTTTGTTTTGTTTTTTTACAGAAAATTAAAAATCACTTAGGTCATACTGATCTGGGGATCACTAGTTTCCTAAATATAGCTTCTATGCTGGTGATAGTATTCTAGTCAGTATAGCAGTCACTTAACTATTGGAGATTGGTTGATTTCTCCCTTGTTAAATAGAATAACTTTTTAACCACTTAAATGAAGTACTGTGTGACTGAATGATCATGCAGGTGTATACATTCCCTTAAATAAAATGCACCTGTAAACGACAGAGTTTATGGCAGTTTTCAAAGTATTTATGAAATATGTACAGTTTTCAAATTTGAATGTATGTAGCTATTCTACATTAAAAGTCAGTAGTATAGATATCCTTGTTTGGCTTCTTAGGTATAACCTTCAGCATTATAGTAGCCACAAAGACTATGAAATGTGTGAGAGATAGAACCAGGTATTTATGTGTATTTATGTGTCCTGACCCTCATATTTTGTACTTTAATACTCCAATGATTTCACTAACATGCTCTAATGCTATAGATCTCATGTGTCAGTTTTTCCAGGAGCAACTCTGTTTTATAGAAGCTAACAAATACAAAAATACACAATTATCCTAATTAATATATTGTCCCTACTTGAATCCTTTCTTAAAAGGTAAGAACATTGCCACAATAGCTAAAAATGCCTGAACTAGTGTACCTTTGTCATTCATCCTCCTCTGTTAGATCACTCTTACCAAATACAATTATTTGTAGCTGTTGTTTGGGGTTTTTTTACACTGATATTACAAGTTTTCTTACAGAAAACCAAGACAGAACCACTCTGTTGGATAGAACCACTGTAATAGATATCACCACTATAACTGATACCACTGAGAGGGTGGTAGGACATGGTTTAGGAGAGGCTGGAAGAAGGCAATAAACACAGTGGCTGGCAAACAGCTGCTCTTCATTATATAAAGAGGGTGGTAGGGCATGGTTTAGGAGAGGCTGGAAGAAGGCAATAAACACAAACAGCTGCTCTTCATTATATAAGATGGCCAAGACAAATTTGTCTTTGGAGGAAGCGATGAAGGGGAGAATTTTATTAACTTGGAATTCTGTGTTGAAGTTAGTGATTAGTCAAGTATATGGTGGAAAATTCTTTTCATCAAATTAAAAGTAAAAAAAAAAAAAATTGCTAATTGATTTGAGATAAAGAACTTTTTTTTTTAAAAAAAAAGCCTCAAACACCTTTTATAACGGTGACCCAAGCAGCATCATCACCAGATGAAATACAAGAACAAATTTAATGGGAAGGATGAGGGCATGCAGACTGAGCTGTCATTGCTTTGTCAGTATTGAAGAGACACCAAGGAGAAAGCAGTGCCATGAAAAACACTTTCTCATTTGGGCAAAACAAGGAGAGTGCAAGCTTCATGATTAGGTTTTAGGGAGGACCACAGAAATTAAAATACTTTGCATTTGCTGAACACGAGAAACACGACTGTTTCAAGATCAGGTTGGATGTGTGAGAAAGTCCAGAATCATGGCTTAGCAGTGGTTAAAAAAAATTATTTTAGTAACAGCTCAAAACTAATCCATGGACTTGTAAACTGATAGTGTATGGTGAAAATGCTATGATGAATAAGCTAAAATTACTTCAAAATGTTAATGTACAGCATTAATTAAAGTAGCTACTGTTTTCATAGCTTTATTTTAACACCTTTATTTAAAGGTATTTAAAACCTTGTTTAAAACCTTTTTTAAAACCTTTATTTAAAGGTTTTCTTTGCTTTCTGAAACAAATGTGCTGAGAATAATAGAAAGCCAAATATTGATCTTATTTTCCTACTCAAATGAAATATACATCAACTATTGGTTATAATTGTTCACAATATGAACAATTAAATTTTTTAAAAAATTATACTATATTATGGAAGCTACATATTAGTTGTATCATGAAATGAGCTATAGTTACGACTATAAAACAAAATTATAAAATATGAAATTTAATATGAAATAAACAAAACTAAAAAGCTCAAACAAAATGTGTTTCAACATTTTTGAAAGCATTTTTTAAGTTTTTTTTTTTTTAATACTGCTTTGTGGGAAATTTTGAAATAGTTTGTCCTGATTCAAAATACCAGCATTTTCCATTAAACTGGAAATTCCCAGTTTTTGCTGTTTGTAGTCTTGCTCTCACTTTCCCAATATTAAGTCCTGAATAGGTCATCTTTGCTCAAAAAATGTTGCTTACTTTCCTATTCCTAAAAGCAGCAAAAAGTCAGAATTAAAAAAGAGAGAAATTTAGGAGATATGACTGCATAAACTCTATCCTTGCATTTGTAGAAAGGAGGTAAAATAAGTGGGAATTGGGATGGGCAACCATTAACATATAAGTGTATGAAGGGTGATTTCTATGATTCATTTGAGTGCCTCTGTCACAGAAAGAAGAATGCATAACCTTAGATATTCCCTTAATTTCCCAGACTGTGTCTTCCACATTTAGGTGGAATGTAGAGACATATTAATTTTTTTCCTGAGTCCTCATTAGCATCAATGCTAAATCTGTGCTCATAGATTTTTATAAAATAGGGTCTAGCACATATGTTTAATGGTATTTTGCTTTTTCTGTAAGTTAGACACATGAATGCCAACGCCTATGTATGATTTTTTTTTTTTGTAATTGCTGACTTAGGAAAAACTGTAAAGAGAATGGAATACTGTAAATTTTATTACAAGCAGGTTGTGTATGTCCATACAAAGCAAACAGTGTAAGAAAATGACAAAAATGCCCATCTATTTCATCTTGGCCAGAAGAATATTTGCATGAGTTAGACACTTCAGAAACTACTCCTTACTCTACTTAAA